ATTAGCATCTGTCACTTCCCCAGCCCCTCCCTAGGCTGGCTGGCCACCCACCCTCCGAGGCATTGGGCTTTGCAGCTGCTTGACTTGTCTTTATGTCCCTAAACCTTTCAAAATAGCAGAACAGACAAATCACTTGTTCTCTGGAAAGGAAACTGGCATTCCTAAAGACAGCAAAGAAAACAAATTGCTTCAAAAAAATAAAAGGGTTGAGAAAGGACATCATGTATGATGTTTTGCAGAACTGAAAGCCAATTGGTAACCAGAAGCTCTAGAATGAAATGCAGGGTTTACTCTTGGGATGGGGTGGGTGGGGCAGAGAGAACAATTCCTCACCTTGGAAGCTAGGGAATGCAGGTCTTGGGTCCCCGGAGGGAACCCCGCCATTCCTTATAAAGGAGTCAGCAACAGAAACCAGCTCTGACCAAGACGTACATAAGTGGCCAAGTTTACATCTGCTGCCGGGACTCACTTCCTGATGTCACTTCCTGACATCACTGGTGACCTCATGGCCAGGGAGCCCTCAACTAAAGGTCTCCCAGATGGGAGCTGGGAGTGAGGGTAGCTGCGTGGTGAATGCAAGGTCTGCCACAGAAAACGGGAGCAGGCATCGCCAAGGTGGCGCCGTGAGGAGGCCCGTGCACTTCTCGTCTCCAAACAGACTTCTCCCTCCGTCTAACCCATTCGCCTGGAGGCTGTGGCCCTGCACCTAGAAACCAGCACCGACTCCTCTCTCTCCTCACATCCCACTTTTCTATTTATTTATTCATTTTTGTTACGGATGTTTCTCCTTCCCCCCACATTGACACCCTCCTCCCAATCTCGCCCCACCCCAGCATTGTTGTCTATGTCCATGGTTATGCATACATGCATATAAGTTTATCTCTTCCCTCCCCCCACATCCGCCTCTTCTGAGGTTTGGCATTCTGCACCGCACTTCCATGTCTCTGGGTCTATTTTGTTCCTCAGCTTGTTTTGTTCATTATATTCCACAAATAAGTGAGATCATGATACTTGTTTTCCTCTGATTGGCTTATTTTGCTTAGCATAATACTCTCCAGCTCCCTCCAACTCATCTCAAAGGATAAGAGATCTTGCCCTGGCCGGTTTGGCTCAGTGGTTAGAGTGTCAGCCTGTGGACCAAAGAGTTGTGGGTTCGATTCGGTCAAGAGCACATACCTCAGTTGCGGTTCATCCCTGGCCCTGGTCGGGGTCATGTGGAAGGCAACCACTAGATGTGTCCCCTCTGACATTGATGTATGTCTCTCTCTCTCTCTCTCTCTCTTCCTCCCACTCTATCTGAGATAGATGGAAAAATATCCTTGGGTGAGGATTAAAAAAAAAAGGATAAGAGATCCTTCTTTCTTACGGCTGCATAGTATTCCATTGTGTATATGTACCACTGCTTTTTTATCCACTCATCTACTGATGGACACTTAGGCTGTTTCCAGATATTAGCTGTTGTAAATAGTGCTGCTAGGAACATGGGGGGACATATATTCTTTCTCATTGGTGTTTCAGGCTTCTTAGGGAATATTCCTAGAAGTGGGATCACTGGATCAAATGGCAGTTCAATTTTTAATTGTTTGAGGAAACACCATACTGTTTTCCATAGTGGCTGCACCAGTCTGCATTCCCACCAGCCGTGTGTTAGAGTCCCCTTTTCTCCACACCCTCATCAGCACTTGTTTGATGATTTGTTGATGGCGGCCATTCTGACAGGTGTGAGGTGATACCTCATTGTTGTTTTAATTTGCACCTCTCTGAGGATTAGTGATGTTGAGCATATTTTCATATGTTTCTTGGTCATTTGTATGTCCTGTTTGGAGAGGTGTCTCTTTAGGTCCTCTGCCCATTTTTTAATTGGGTTCTTTGTCTTCTTTTTGTTGAGTTGTAGGAGTGCTCTATATATTTTGTCACATCCCACTTTTCAACCCACCACCACGCAAGCAGTCAGCGTGGGTCTACTTCGTCATCTCCCTCCAGCCAACCATCTCACCCTCTCCATCGCTAGCACCTCAGTCTCAGCCACTGACATCAGTGGGGAGATGGTGAGAGTGAATACTGCCTCTGGAGAATTGAAAGGTGCTCAGTGTGGGTTTAACTACAGAGGAGAGAGGAAGAGCAGAGTGGGACAAGGCTGGGAAGGTGGGGGGCTGGGCTATAAATCACTTTGTAAAATCACATTAAGGATTTGCATAGACACTGATTAAAAGAAAAAAAAATCGAGGCTGTCTTAATTTACTAGGAAATACTGGTAAGAACGTAACAAATGGACATACTTTGATAATGGCAACAAAGGTGACAGGTTAAGGGGTACTAGTGAACTAGAAGTTTTGGTCTGTGGGTCAAATGCTGATGGTTTAGGAGTGATTAGCTAAGAAGTCTGCCAAATTCTGTCCTTCCTTACTGTTTCCCTAACTGACCATATCTTCCAAGGTGACAGCATTTCCAAGTATCAGATAATAAAAGGAAGCTGCTACCATCAATGTTGTAAAAACAAACACCAAAAATAAATCTATACGGTACATTTAGGAGCAAAGATTTTATTTGAACGGGCCCCCAACTGAGCTGGAGATAGATGAAGCCATGTTTCTGCTGCATCTAAGGCCTCAGAAAGTGACTGAAATGGTAAACTTCACATCATCATTCATTTACTGTGGAAGAAGGATGCTTTATGGGACAGTCTGAGGAATACAAAGCTAGAGACGAGAACAACACAGGGACAGGTAGAAAGCAGAAATGAAAGGTTATTTTCCAATGACCATTCAAGAACACAAAACGAAGGACAAAGGATGCTTGATGCTAAACAATGTTTCTGGGATCTAGTAAGTCTCTGTCTTCTAATGTTGGAATGTCATATGGTCGCTCACAGAAGTCTGCTGGAGTGGCCTGCTTCCCGTTGCGATGTCCTAGTCCAGATGACCAGCTGCACTGCTTAAAGCCTGAAACATCCTTTTGGTTGGAAATCCCCCCTCCTGTGGTGTACACTGCCACAGCTCTCTCCTCTACGTGTCCAGCTCTGGGGAGTGACAAGGCTAAAGGCAGCACTTCGATGCTGCCAATCTGGGATCTTCTCAATGTCCCTATTGATGATCCCATGTGACAATACAGGTGAAGTAAGGTAGAAGGTAATAGTCCAAAAACCACCCAGGAGGTCGAAAGAGACAGCTCCATTTCCATTGGCCATAAGGAAGTTTGGATATTAATGATCATTTATTACTGATCATTTAACCTGTTTTTATATGGACCGTAACAATCACTGGTTAACTTCACTGGTTGCCTCTCATGCACTGTGCAGGCCTCCTTCATCTACTTACTTCTTCATTACTAACCAGAGCATCCCTGAACACTGGTATCTAGTGACAACAGTCAGTGTGCACAAGATCGATGAAAATCTGTCCACTGCCATAGGCTGAGGTTAGCCTGAAAATAACTTACATCCTTTGGGCTTACTTGCAGCCAAATGTTTTTCGTTTGAGGGATGAATTCCCTCAAACGAATGTGAATCTTATACAGTCACATTCTACGATCTACTGAAAGTGAGTGGGTAACAGGGAACAAAGAAATAGAAAGAAAGGAGGTAAAAAAAGGAAGAAAGGGCCCTGACCGGTTTGGCTCAGCAGTTGGAGCGTCGGCCTGCGGTCCAGAGAGACCCGGGTTCGGTTCCCGCTAAGGGCTCGTACCTCGGTTGCAGTTTGTCCCCGGCCCTGGTTGGGTCGTGCGGGTGGCAGCCACTCGATGTGTCCCTTTCACGTCAATGTTTCTCTCTCTCTCTCCCTCTCTCCCTCCCACTCTATCTGTACAAAAAATGGAAAGATGTCCTCGGGTGAGGATTAAAAAAAAAGGAAGAAAGAGCCAATCAAACCGGGAGGAAGACAGTGAACATATCCAGAGACCAAAGCGTGGAGCCTGCCACCCTGCAGTGCCCAGACCTACTATGGAAGGACTTGCTCTCAGCCCCAGCTCTACCTTTCTGTCTACACCCTCATGTGTGACTCTGGGGCTGGGTCTCTGCAAACCACATGTTAGCCAGTTGGCGCTTCGTTAGGCTCTGCCAGTAGGGACTAGGAGACTGAAGGTGGGACAGAGAACACATGGTCTACCTGGGTCCTACCACAGCATCCCACCCACTGCAGCAAGACCTGGCTCCAGCTTCCAGCTCCTACCAGCTTATTGAAAACGTACCTCATTGGGCTCCTTCCCTCACAGCTCTGACCAGCAGCCGCTTTTTGGAGGTCTGAGCACTGACTCCGGGGGCTGGCTCGTCTTGGAGTTCCTAGGTCTGCAGGGCATGGTAGCTGCTTCCTAAAATTATTACCCCAGTATTTCCTTTCACTCTTCCAGCCCTCCTATTCCACATATCAAATTTCCTATAGTGAATCCTTTCTGTTGAAATACTTTGTCTTTCTAACTAGGCCCTTTCTTCTCAAAGACTCCCCTCTGACGACACAGCTTGTGAACATCCCAATAGCTGAGAAATTCTGCAGCCTGACCCATCAACCTCCTGGCGGTCTAAATGAAAGGTTCAATTTTTAAAAAGGTTTTTGTTTTTTAATTGTGGCAAAATACACATAAAATATACCATCTTAAGTGTACAGTTCACTCGTGTTAAGTGTGTTCAGATTGTTATGAAAAGTTAAATTTTTGATTAAGGGAGTCCAAAATGCTGACACAACTGTGATGCAACGAAAATGACTATGTTCTATCACTCTGTAATATGAAGCCATTATCTTGGATTTGGCATATTTTCATGGCTGGCCATCTTAAATAAAAATAACAATTCAAATAAGCTCTTAGAATAAAAATATGACATTAGTGGATATATTATCTAATAGCACATTCTAGATGTGTCAAGTATTTGACTTATTGTCAAGAATAGGAGGAAAAATTAACACAAAATTAACTCACTATACACTTCTATCAAGCTTAACAAGAGAGGATAAATTGAAAAAAATGAACATAAAAAGAAACCACTGGAATCCCACAGGTGAGGGTCTTACCATAATCTTGTCACTGTCGATAATGGTGTTCAACCTGTGTGCAATGGTTAGCACAGTGCACTGGGCAAATTTCTCACGAATTTTTTTTTGTATTAACTCATCAGTTCTGGAATCAAAGAAGTTGAATTTAGTTCAGTCAAGGCAGACTTAAGACTTAAAAAGATCATACAATATATATATATATGTATATATATATATATTTTATAATCCTCAACCGAGGACATTTTCCCATTTTTGTTCAGATAGAGTGGGAGGAAAAGAGAGAGAGAGAAACATCGACGTGAAAGGGACACATCAAGTGGCTGCCACCCACACAACCAACCAGGGCTGGGGACAAACCGCAACCGAGGTACACGCCCTCAGCGGGAACCGAACCCGGGTCTCTCTGGACCGCAGGCCAACGCTCTAACTGCTAAGTCAAACCGGCCAGGGCCATATAGTATTTTTAATAATGTTTTTAAAAATCAATACTTCTTTAAAACCTAAGTAGGAAGTCTATTTAGAAATTCACTATTTTTCATTAAAAAATAGAAGATATTCTTTCCTTCAAAATGCTTGAAACTATGAGTTGAATTTAGGAACCTAGCTCTCTTAGGGGCTTAATAATATCATGAACTTTGTAGAACATGTTTTGGTTTCTTCCTCTGCTTACCAGATTAATGTTATCAAGAGCTATCTTGGGGCAAAGAGAACTGTCAGAAAAACTTCTCACCATCATTAAATGTTTCTCATTTCACCACACTGAAAATTCGGTTCCCAGGTTACATGGAACGCAGCTCTGTACCTTAGGTCCACATTTGCTGTCGCCTCGTCAATGATCAGTATCCGATTTTTCCTGAGAAGCGCTCTGGCGAGGCACACCAGCTGTCTCTGTCCAACACTGAAGTTCGATCCGGATTCTGCTAACTCAGTATCCATTTTACCAGGAAGATCTTCGATGGCTTCTTTAAGTTGTACCTGTGGATATAGAAAGAATAATGGTGTTTTCCTAAGCAAACTACTACTGAAGAAAACAAGCCTCCTAGACATCAGAGCTTTGTTTTATTTTTTATCCTCACCTGAGCACATTTTTTCCATTCTTTGTTCACATAGAGTGGGAGGGAGAGAGAGAGAAACATCGACGTGAAAGGGACACATCGAGTGGCTGCCACCCGCGCGACCCAACCAGGGCTGGGGACAAACTGCAACCGAGGCACATGCCCCCAGCAGGAACCAAACCCGGGTCTCTCGGACCACAGGCCGACGCTCCAACCGCTGAGCCAAACCGGCCAAGGCACATCAGAGCTTTGAAATCCTTGGGACTTCTTCCGTATATTGTGTGTACGGCAAGGCAACAGGTTCAGTTACTTCCAGTTAGTGTTCGCTGAGAAAGATGGTCGAGTCAGGACAGAAAGATTCTGACTTAAGAGCACAAACTTAATGGGAGTCAAGATTCTTCTTGGTTGCCACCAAGTAGGCACAGTCTGTTCATGTCCTATCAATTTCATTAAGACATACTGTATGCTAAATAAAATTATTCCTAAGGTAAACTACAGAAAAATTTTAAATGTTTTCTTCTAAATGTTTAGTGAAAATTTAACTACAGGAATTTATAGAGACAAAAAGTGGAACAGCAATTGCCTAGGGACTGAGGAATTAAGTGTAAATGGACCCAGGGAACTTCTGTGGGTGAGAGAAATTCTCTAAAACTGAATTGTTGTGATTGTATAAGTATACATTTATCTAATTCACTAAATCACACTTACGCAGGGCTAATTTTCTGGTATGAAATACCTCAATAAAGTTGGTGAAAAGAAATCATCTCAGTGTCCCTGATCCCCGACATGACATTCACCAGGAACCCCTCCCGGGGAATAAGTTAAGGAAGTCTCTCAAAAAAATAAAGGTACGTCTCCCAATGTAGTCTAAACAGAAAAGTTAAAAAAATCTTTATGGTTGAATCAAGTTTCCCAAAATAAATTTTGCATAGGAGTTAGTACATTAAAGGGAAATTAAAAAAAAAGAAATGCCTGGCCAGTTTGGCTCAGCGGTTGGAGTGCTGGCCCAAGAACCAATAAGTCTTGGGTTCAAGTCCAGCAGAGGCACATACCTGGTTGCGGTTCATCCCTGGCCCTGGTCAGGCTCATGTGGGAGAAAGCCAGACGATGAGTCTCTCTCACATCGAAGTTTTTCTCTCTTTCCCTCCCTCCCACTCTATCTGAAGATAAATAGAAAAATATCCTAAGGTGCGGATTAGGAAAAAAACAAATTATGGCAGGAAGTATGTCTCTCCAAAAATATAAAATATTTTTTATTGATTTTTAGAGAGTGGAAGGGAGAGGGAAGGAGAGAGAGAGAGAAACATCAATGTGAGAGCGGAACATTCATTGGCAACATCCTGCATGTTCCCTACAGGGGATCAAACCTGCAACCTGGGTATGTGCCCTAACCGGAAATCGAACCAACAACCCTTTCAAAGCACACAATGACACCCAGCCAGCTGAGCCACACCAGCCAGGGATAAAGACAGAATCTTACCAGTACCTTGCTCTTTTGGAAGGTATTTATTCATTTATTTTTATTTATATATTTTTAAATCTTTATTGTTGAAAGTATTACAGATGTTCCCCACTTTTTCCCCCATTGACCCCCCCATCTTACCCCCCTCCTGCCTTCCCCACACTACTGTCTGTGTCCATTGGTTATGCATATAAGTTCTTTGATTTTAAACTTTAAAAAAATACCAGTTCATACACTGGCAAACTGTACTTCTTATATTAATCAATATGGAGTCTATTTTGGTGATGGTTCCTTCCCAAATTTAATCACATATTGCTAGACAAGTCAAGTGCACTTATTTCAACCTCCTAAATGTTTGGCAGTGAATGAAAACTCATGAAAAACGGGGCATAACATAACATCTTATTTCCCCCGGACATTGGGGATTGATGGTGTTTATAGTAATCTACCTTCAAAAAATTCTAAGTAAAAAGAAAAAACCCTCTTACTCACCACCAAAGATAACCTGAAACTGCACAGGGTGGCAGAGCTCAGTTCAATGAACACTTGTTTTGGAGAAACTTCATAGAGCAAGAACCAAACTCAGGCTATACTTGAGAGTTAAAGAGATAAGTAAATACACTTCAAGTTAAGAAATTAACAGATTGAGCCCTGGCTGATGCTGTGGTTGGTTGGAGAACCATGGCATCCCGTATACCGAAAAAGTTGTGGGTTTGATTCCCAGTCAGGGCGCATACAGGAAGCAACTATCAATGTTTCTCTCTCTCTCCTTCCTCTTTCTCTAAAATCAGTGAAAACATATCCTTGGGTGAGGATTAAAAAAAACAATAAATTAACAGACTGATGAGTGATGGCCAGTAAGTGGGGGCACAGAATAATGATGTCAAATAACAAAAATAGCAAGAGTAAGTGGGCAACGTTTTCATGGCATTTCCGAAATGCTGAAACACTTCTACAAATGTGTTCTTGAGTTGTATTTATGAGTCCATGCCCAACAAACAGAAATTCTGAGTTAGAATTAAATATGGTCATTGTGAGTTAGGATTAAATATGGTATTGGTACTTAGCATTTGCATGAAAGATATATAAAATCTAAAGTGTAAGATTTGAATTGTGGTGAATTGCTTGTACTAAAAACTATAAAATGAAGATGTCAACTTAGCCAACCCCCCTCCATTACTAAGTATTCTTTTTATGACACATATTCCTAGGTCTACACCCCAGGTGACAGAACTGATCAAAGGCATGACAGCTCCAAGGCCTTTATGAGCTATTCATGCCGAGCTGGCTTTGGTAACACTTGTGTATGCACAATGGTCTTTCTTAAGACTGAGATCCCGGCTTTGGAGAAATAACCTCACACTTGCCGGACTGAGATGACATCTCATCACTAGGCTGGTTTTTGACGGTCCTTCAGGTCGTCCCTATCTGCCGGACGAGGAGGGTGGCCTGTGAGGTGAAGAGCAGCAGACCTGTGTTCCAGAAATCACTGTTTCTAAGACTGTCTTCCTTCAGAGACCAGGGATGCTACGAGAATGACAGGAGTGTGAAGGCCCTGTGAGTGTTATCACACATTCCCGTTATAATTAATTCTCAGAACCGGGAAAAAGAGAATAGTAATTACGAGTTGCAACTGTTGAATTTGAAAACATTAGATAACAGTGTAATATCACTAGTCTCTGTCTTGAGCGAGATGCCTGTATATGTAAGAGAGAGCTTTGTTCCTATAAGGTACAAATTTATGTATATAAGGGTGAACTGCAGCATTTAGTGACAATTTCTGCAACTTACTTTCAAACAGGTCAGCAAAATATAGATTGTGGAAGAGAGAAAGCAAATGTGGCAAAATATTAACAACTAGTGACTTTCAGTGAAGGGCATTTGTGTGTTCGTCAGCCTATTCCTTCGACTTTCCTGTGATCTGAACATTTTAAAATAAAGCACAGGGACCTTGAGGCCAGACAGCCTGGGCATGAGTCTCACCGGGCTCTGCCAGCTGGACTGAGCTCTCCCTATCTTAGCTTCCTAATCTATAAATAACACTACAATAGGATAATAATAAAGGTGTCTAACTCCTAACAGCATTAGAGTATAAAATTAGTCAGTGTGTGTTGAGTTTACTACAGTGCTCGATACAATGCAAGAGATCAATAGATATTGCCTATTAGTAATAATGCTCTCAGCTGGCTTCTAGGTTCTGCTGTATTTTTCTTCTTTACATTTATTAGCACTGAGACTATATGCATATATATGAGATACAGTTTTGCATGTTTTGACCTGTCATTGATAAACTGCTTCATCTTCAGCCATTACTTAGGTTATATTTATAGAGCTGCCATTTCTTTTTAGGTGCCCAAATCAGCACGAATTCTAATGAACTTTCTTCGGTTTATGGCTTGGCTATTTTTGAGTATATAGATGAAAAATGTATTTTTCAGCATACTTTTAAAGATAACCAAGATGAGATGGGAAAATAGAACTATCTCCTTTCTGAATGTCCATCTCCACCAAGGGAGAAGGAGGAAGTGAAACGAAGAGGACTTAAAAAAAAACCATCCTTTCATTTAAAAATTTTTTTCATTTTAAAATTAAACTTTTTATTTTGAGATAATTATAGATTCATGCAATTGTAAGAAATAATGTAGAAAGATTCATGTACCCTTTCTCCATTTTTCCTTCAATGGTAACATCTTGCAAAACTATAGTATAATATCACAACCAGCATATTGACTTAGATACAATCTACTGATCTTTTTAAAAAATTTTTTATTAATTATTTATTTTTATTACAGATGTTTCTCCTTTTTCCCCCACTGATTACCCCCCCCCCCCGCCCTGTTCCCAGCTTTGTTGTCCATGTCTATTGTTAATGCAAACATGCATGTAAGTTCTGTGGTTTATTTCTCCCCCACCACACCCTCTTCTGGGGACTGTCAGTCTGTACTCCACTTCCTCAGACTGTTATGTTCATTATATTCCACAAATAAGTAAGATCATATGATACTTGTCCTTCTCTGTTTGGCTTGTTTCGCTTAGGATAATACTTTCCAGGTCCCTCCATGTCGTCTCAAAGGATAAAAGATCCTTCTTTCTTATAGCTGCATAGTACTCCATTGTGCATATGTACCACAGCTTTTTTATCCATTCGTCTACTGATGGACACTTGGGCTGTTTCCAGATCTTAGCTATTGTAAATAGTGCTGCTACGAACATGGGGGTACATATATTCTTTCTGATTGGTGTTTCAGGCTTCTTAGGGTATATTTCTAGAAGTGGGATCACTGGGTTAAATGGAAGTTCAGTTTTTAATTTTTTGAGGTAACACCATATTGTTTTCCATAGTGGCTGCACCAGTCTGCATTCCCACCAGCAGTGCACTAGAGTCCCCTTTTCTCCACACCCTCGCCAACACTTGTTGTTTGATGATTTGTTTTGGCGGCCATTCTGACAGGTGTGAGGTGATACCTCACTGTTGTTTTAATTTGCATCTCTCTGATGATTAGTGATATTGAGCATTTCTTCATATGTCTCTTAGCCACTTGTATGTCCTGTTTGGAGAGGAGTCTCTTTAGTTCCTCTGCCCATTTTTTAATTGGGTTCTTTGTTTTCCTTTTGTTGAGTTGTATGAGCACTCTATATATTTTGGAAATTAATACCTTATCTGATGTATCATTGGCAATTATGCTCTCCCATACAGTGGGTTGCCTTTCCATTTTGATGATTGTATCTTTTGCTGTGCAGAAGCTTTTGAGTTTGATGTAGTCCCATGTGTTCATTTTCTCCTTTGTTTGTTGCCTTAGGTGATGTATCAGTGAAAATTCTGCTGCGTATGATGTCTGAAATGTTGTTGCCTACAGTTTCTTCTAGGATTTTTATGGATTCATGAGTCACATTTTTTTATTCATTTTGGGTTTATTCTTGTGTATGGTGTAAGTTGATGGTCTAGTTTCATTTTTTTTTTTTTTTTGTATGTAGCTGTTCAATTTTCCCAATACCATTTATTAAAGAGGCTGTCTTTATTCCACTGTATGCTCTTGTCACCTTTGTCAAATATTAATTGAGCATATTGCCTTGGGTCTATTTCTGGGTTCGCTGTTCTGTTCCACTGGTCTATATGCCTGTTATTGTGCCAGTACCAGGCTGTTTTGATTACAGTGGCTTTGTAGTATAACCTGAAATCTGGTAACGTGATCCCTCCAACTTTGTTCTTCCTTTTCAAGATTGCTGTGGCTATTCGGGGTCTTTTTTGGTTCCATATGAACTTTTGAAGTATTTGTTGTAGTCATTTGAAATTTTTAAAGAGAAAAAACATAGTACCCTCTTACAGACTTGTAAGCCAAGCCTAGGAGTTTGGGTTCCCATTTCCAGTTTGGCATCATGTATAAACCAGATGACTAGGGTTTTCAGTTCTCCTAAAATTTGACTTCATTGCCTTCTGTGTTTTTCAATGAAAGATTTGGCAAATTTTCTAAAGATCAGGATACCAATTCTTTCACTGAAAAACATACAAAAGTCATATAGAAATAAATACTAGAGAAACACAAGGGTGGAGTGAATTCTCACACTCAGAGGTATCACTGAGGTAACCAGGTCCATTCCAGAAGCAATACACGGAAACCACTGCCTTCACTTTGTGAAATAAAGTCACGTTTATTTTTATTCCACGGGAAGTTCTAAATGTAGCTTAAATAAAGGTAGATCATGGTATTATCGACCACTTTCACCATCTCCTCATTTTTAGAATTCTGAGAGGCTACTGATTTTTTTAATTTTTGGCTCCTACAGATGAAACACGTTATAGCCAAGTTCTAAGGGAGTTTTTGAAAGGAGTCTCCCAATTAACATTTCTTCACTGTGGTGGAACAATGTATTGCTAGAGTAATTTTACTATCTGGGAATCTGTGAAGACAGATCTCAAACTCTGAACTACACAGAAAAATAATTTACCAGTAATTCCTGTTTTTTAAAGGTGTGTCACAATTTCACCATTAAATGTGCCCTGAGAGAGTCAAGAGCAGTCATCGTCCTACCTCTCTTTCTATTTGATGGTTAACCGTTCACCCCACCTCTCCTCTTCTGGAATTCACTGCAGAAAGACTCACCAACTCAAATGAAACCAGGGGCCCACTGCTTCTCAAGTAGGAGAAGGTGTGGTGGTCGGCCTGATTCACATTCTAACTGAAAAATTTACCTTTATAAACACTTTTCTTAAAACTTTAAAGTATTTTATTACCATGACCTCATTTATCTTTTAGTTAATAATGAAACACTATTATTGTCTCCATGTAGTAGATGTTCCCTAAGACCAGAGGAGTACAATGAATGTTAGCCACTAGGTCCTAGTAGAATTTGAACCCATAATTACAATTTCTAGTGTAATGCTCTGTGGTGGACAAGATAATATGTCTAGTTGCTTTGTGTTCTAGGTAAAGTTAAAATGAAGACATGAGATGCTATATTTTTTGTTTTCATCATCATCAATATACATATTTTAAATGTATCCTAGGTGAAGAACAAAGTCAATTAAACCATAAAGTTCCCCTTTGCTCTGGCTGGTGTGGCTCAGTTGGTTGGAGCCTTGACCCATTGACCAAAAGGTGGTGGGTTTGATTCTCGGTTGGGGCACATGCAGGAGGCAGATGATCAATATCTCTGTCTCTCTCAAATCAATGAAACATGTCCTCAGGTGAGGCTTAAAAAAAAAGTTCCCCCTTAATTACCTGTAATGCTATAAATGCACATATACTGATGCTAACAAGTTAATTACATTTTATACATTACCTCTGTTAAGGCATTCCACAGTTCTTCATCCGTATGCTCATTAAAGGGATCCAGGTTTTTCCTCATTGTTCCAGTGAATAAAACAGGGTCCTAAATACCGAAAATTAGTCAATGTTATTATTGTAGCCTCTTTTCCTTTTATGCCAATGCTAACTTTCAGAACAGAATTAAAATTCAGAAAACCAAAAATTCACTATAATCATGAGTTATAGGGTCGTAAATGCCTGTTTACAGAGCAATCTCTCTATTAATTTTCCATTGTACAGAGTGCAGTCCAAAATATCTTCTGGACCACTGCACACTAACAAAAGAAACTGCTAAAGTGTGACATCTTAAGAAGGAACTGGAAAAAGAAGGTCTGATTTTTTAAAATGCCTTTCTGATAGTGATATCTGCTCAAACAGAAAAACAAGGATATACATTATCTGAGGTTACGGCTATAGAAATTAATTGTCAATCCTGATGTAATACTGGAAAAATACCAAGAGCATGATTAGTTGAAATTTGTGCCTCAAAGCAAAACTGTTAAATATTTTCACATTTGCACTGAAGAACAGACTAGAATAGTTTCTCCATCGGTAAAACGATCTTCTGGAATTGGGAATCTCTCCACCTGTGTGAACGGGACAAAGAGAAGGTAAACTAATGGGGCCAGTGGCACATCTATTCATGAAGAGATCACCTCTGGCTTTGCATCAGCTAAGCCCCATGTCACCTGGTCTATGATGCAGGGTTACATGACTCACAGAACCTCGGTATTAACTGCAAGGGCTGGATGGCCTGAAACCCACTATGGTTGTGTCGCAATGAAATTATTTTTATTTAAGTAGCTCTTCCTCTTCATCTACTTCGGAAGGAACCACAATGAATTTACTCCTGAAATATATGACTCCTTCTGGGTTTCAAGAGAGAACCTTGTGCCTGAGCTAATGTAGGCTGTTTACGATTTCTTCTGAGAGGCTCTAGTAACCCAGGCCACAAGAAGGTGGGCAGCAGAGAAAGGCAATTTTCCATAAAGGTGGTAGAACAAGGAGATGCACAGCCACGGGAGCAAGGGGAGACTGGACACTTCCACCAGTGCTGGACTCAAGGGAATCACCAGCCTCACCTCTGGCCTGGCCTTGGGGCTGAACTGTTCTTCCTCACCTCTCAAAAGCCTGAAAAGAAAGATTGAGAAGGTAGACTTTCCGCGTCTCTAGCTGTGAAGAAGAATGACACTCAGAGAGCCTCCTAAACTTTCTTTCCCTATTGTCTCAGTTTCAAGACTAGGGAGGGGAAAATGGATGCAGAAGACAGAAGGTGTGCCAGCAAAAAACACGCATCCCTAAGCAAAATTCTAAATTAAAAAGACTTTGAGTCTTGGCTGGTGTGGCTCACTTGGTTGGGCATCATCCCATGCACCAAAAGGTTGCTGGTTCGATTCCCAGTCAGGGCACATGCCCGGGTTGTGAGCTTGATACCCAGTAGGGGGCATACAGGAGGCAGCTAATCAATGTTTTGCTCTCATATCAATGCTTCTCTCCCTCTCCCTCCCTCTCTCTGAAAATCAACAACAATATATTTTTTTTCAAGATCTTAAAAAGAGTACTTTATTTGCACAAAGTTGATATAGTAGCCAATGTGCCACAAAGCACTGAAAATCACTGGTCATATGACATTTCAAAGTGATTACTGAATTAAACTGGAAGAATTCAGAGACCCAAATTTAAGGTCTCCCTTAAGAATACCCAAATTTAAGATCGAAGACTAAAGCATCTAAGCAATGGTAAGAGCTTTCTGTTGGGGGAATGACCATCATTCCACCAGATTTAAAGGGAACTTTTCTTACTCTATGTAATTATCAATGCTGAGATTCCAATGCCCTGGGAGATTTCTCTTCCTTCAGTTGTTTCCATGAGGTTTACAGAAACGATGGGCCAGGTGAGGGGAGGCTGATGCCCACTATTCCTCGCTCTTCTCTGACTCTCCTACTTTCCTTACAAGGCTCCAAACTATAGGCGGTATTTTACTCTGGGGCCCAAACTAAGAGACTCTGAGGATTGGTGTTTGAGGGGATAAAGGGGCTGAACGAGGGCAGGTTAAGGAGTAGCTTGGAGCCCACTGGGCGAAGTGACAGATGGTCTCTCTGCTTACATTAAAGACAAGACCGTTTCTTTGCCCATCTAGGCTCATCTGACCTGAAACTCTTTTCCTTTGGGCTCCTCTCACAGTGCAAATGCAGGTCCAGTAAGAGTTCCAGGGTCTGATAAAGTATCCACCTGGTTTTTACAGTGCCCACTAGAGGAGGCATTACTTAAGCTAACTACAAACAGAAATTGCTTTGTTTCTAAAAGACAGACCTCTCTTCCTTTGTTAAACAAAGACAGGACTCACAGTCATTGCACATTTGGGGACAATGGTTTTGGTGGTCAGGAGAACAGGCACAGGGACATACGCGGAAAGTTCAATCACCTGTTCCATGATCAGGGCCTCTCTCTAGTCACTTCCCTCACCTCTTCTCTTTAGTAAACTCCTCGAAGTGGATGAATCTCTCCAAAGACCTGGGGGGTGGGGGGGTTTACAATGGGATTCTTTGCAGAAAAAGGAGTTGCTTACTCAGCCCCTGACCTACGTCTGCAGCTGCTGTACCCTGAGTTTAAAACAGAGACCGCAGGTACTCTGTAGGCCTTGAGGAGGTTCTGCTAATTATCAACTCACTGTTGACTGTCATAAAAAGGAAGAATTTAGTTTAAGCATTTTCCAATGCAATGGGTCCCCACTTAAATCTGTACCGTTGATCTAAAAGAATATATTAGGCAGTCTCATGTTTACTTAACAGTATGAATAGAAGAAATAGTTTAATAAGAATATTTCTCTTTGTTAAGACATACCAAATATATGTTTCAGAATGAGTAAAATTTCAGTTGAAACTTGTTGAATAGAAAGAGTGATTTATTAAAACATAAAGCCAGCAGGCAACGTGTTGACCATGTCTGTTTTAATATGCCAACATGTTTCCTGCATGGTGAACATTTTGGTTTCTACTCATTCTGCTCTCATCCACTTGCCAAGTAAGAAAAGGTAATAAAAGTGCCCACAATTGACACTACTGCAAGAGCAGAAAAGGGTTAAATGATCACTTCTGCTAGATATTATTTAAAGTACCCACCTCCAAGCAATGAAGTTATAAATAAATGCTGTAAAAACGTGTGCAGGTAGAACATTTTAGTGTGGACATTTATGGTAGGACACAAACCTTCATGTCAATATATACTCAATTTATTAGCCTAAGTACTACAATTTTTTTTTTCTGAAGGTACACAGTTAAACCTCATTTAATAAGAGCTAGCTGGCACAGTACAATTAATTCAATATTTTAAATGGAGCATTAGTATAAAACCTGTTTTTCACCTTGGTTTAAAATGTACACTTTTTTTTTATCCATTGTGCCACATTCAGTAGTAATTTTTTCCTTTGTTACTAACATAACACAAGTTCACATTAGGTGTGTGACCCAAAAACGGCCACTCGGAATCAAAGCATTTAGTGTAGTAAATTGATCACAACTGCAAGACAGAAAACTACAGTCTTACTAGATCTTCTGGACACTGCTGGAAGACAAGCCTCCCATTTTCCTAAAAAGAAACCCTACCCACTAACCTTCAGACACTTAAAACGACCCGGGACCTAGACAAAAACCGTACAAGTGGTAACAAACTCGGCAGATGAAGCACAGCACTGTACCCTCCTGGTGTCGGTCCCTGACCAGAAACCACCTCTATTAAAATGCATGCTCAGGAGTGGCTGCCTCCACGGTTCCCTCTAGTCCTAAGGGCTGCGTTTTCATTCCTATCCTGAGGGCCTTTCCTAAGGGCAGCTTCTGCACGGTCCAAGGAGAGGGAATCACCTGGAGGTGCTTTATATCTTGGTTTCCCCCTCCTCCTCCTTCTTTTTTAAAATCCTGTAGCCTCTGAATGAACCGATCATCATCCACATTCAGAAGAAAAGAACATTGTTCTCCAACAAAGGAAAAAGAATTTAAGTCGTGTAAAGTCCTCTTTGGATACAGAAAGGTCGGGAGCTCCAGGGAGCAGTCCGCGGGCTCTGATGAAGACTTCAGTGTCAGAAACAAAGGCCTGACTGCATTAGGCTGGAGCCCAGTTGTATTTCTTTCCTAGTAACAGCATACCCACCTCTTCCCTCTCTGAGTTTTGTTCTCACAAAGAAAAAAAAGAAGAGAAAGAAAACCAGGTGAAACAGAAGAAGTCTTAAAGAGACAGCTCTGGTTAACCTTTTTTTCAACCTGCTGAAGACAACCCAGGGAATGGAAATAACAAAGGAGCAGAGTGGACTGTTCAAAGATTACCTGGCTTTTGCTTTGATTTTAAAAGTCTAATAAATATAAAAATGAACCTGTTCAATCATATAAAGATGATAGCTGCTGCTCTGTGCCAACCCTTAGGGTGGGAACATAAATACTGCATTTGCATGGAATCATTCTTCAACTGAAAACATTTTCTTTATGCCCATAGGAAAGGGGCTCTGGGTGTAGAGAATCCATCCAAAGAAGTTTTGAAATCCATTTTTTTCAGATCTTCCAGATAAGCACGCAACTCCCTGAATAGAATCTCATCTTGGTGTTCTCTTTGGGGAACACATGTTAACTATTTCGGGTACAAAGGACACCTACATTTTAGCTACCTGTTCTGTTTCAAAAAAAACTATTTAGGGAGTGTTTTCATTTGTTTGCTATTCCTGAAATTCTGAACACAAACTGAGGTGCGTGTTTTTAAGAGTACGGTATTTGTTTTGAAAGGTCCCTCCAGGAACATTCATAGCCTGACTGTGTGTGTCGCCACTCCCTCGCCTCTGTTCCTAAGGAGGTCTTCGCTGCTATCTCATCTCTCCCAATTCTGACTTACTCGTGGTAGGGTCAAGAGTGACAGGGATGAGCCTGGGAGAGACAGACCACCACGGAAGCTCACTGCTGCACCCAGGATCACAGCAAGCGGGGAGCCAGGGAGGATGGTGAGGGCTGGCTCACCAAATCTGTAAACAAGGAAACAGCAGTAGGTTCCTCCCCCTTTGCAGAGTCTGCTCTAAACATCTTAGGTTCCCCAAATCGGGGTGTTGAGACACAAGCAACACTGCTTCCTATTCATTTGGGGGAAAGAGGAATGTGAGTTTTCTGTAATATGAACAAGCAACCAAGGAACCAGCCCAACAGGCTTCACCCCTGCAGCCTGGTAGACATTGCAAAGTAGACATTGCTCGGTAGGATTCGGAGTATCTTCTCCTGACATTTACTAGTCCATGACAAACTAGTGAGTGAACCCATTTCTAAATTCATTTTCTTTTAGTGGTGAGTGGGACTTGAGTTTTTTAGCAAAAGAAAATAGTTCAGTTTTTCAAAACCACCAAACTGTCCAAATGAGGGACATGACACTTGGAGAAATACCTTTTAATCATGTTCTATATTCATTCATTTCTGCTATGGTTTGGGGGAATTTAAATGGGGGGGGGGGGTAGGCAAAATGGGATAAGATATCTGATGAGAACATCATTCAGTTCAAAGCATCTACTGAAAAAGATCAAGAGAAAGATTTGCAGGTGGACAGTCCTGAGTTCTGATTCTACTGTTTATTAGCTGTTTGACTCGTTATTAATCTCCCCAAGCCTCGGTTCCTTGCTGGACACGGGGCTAGCCTTGCAAGAATGCTGTGTGAATCTGCACCATGAATAAAGCTCTTAGTGATGTGCTAACATGTGCCTGGAGCCCAACCAAACGGGGACAGTGAGGGGCAGTGTTTTTCAAACAGCTGAAACCAATGGATCATGAAATCAATTTTGTGCCTCACGATCACCATTTCGTCTTTTACATCAACGAGCATAGAATGAATATAATAGAAAACAGAGTGCAGAGCCCAGAGTAATATTGTTTTGTGAAATTTGTGTGTGCGCACAAGTGTATGCACAAAATGATCCGCAGCAGTTCTACTGTGGACCTCCGTCAGTGGTATAGTATGCTCAGGTCCCCAGTGGAGTAGTCACAGGAGTTGGGAAGCTCCCCACATTAAATCTGAATCCTGGCTCTGCTGCTTACTTGGTAAGGGGGTTAAGTTCACTGTGCCTTGGTTTTTTCAACCTGTCAGAGAAGGAAAGAGGCTAAAATGTGTTAAAGATTCCACGAATGTTAGAAATGATTAATGATTATCAATACTGTGTAACTGTCGGCAAGGCCAATGAGAGGAGAGGTAGAATGCGGCTGGGCATGTGGGGGGAGCTGAGGAAAATGGCAGGTGTCTTTGGGGGACTGCAATGCATTAACGGGGCACAGAGCAGTGGTCAGGAAAGAACCATGGTGGGAGAGGGGCCAGGAAACAAAAGACAAACAAATGATACTCTTTCCTGTTGTTGCTTGTGGGACGAACGTTGCATAGATTTCTCCTGATCCTAGAACTCCTTTCCTTTTTCTCTTTCATTTACTTTTTGCTTCGCTCTTTCAATTTATGTAAATGTTTTATATAATTTTTTCCCCTTTTTTTTGTTTCACTCTTTAAATTTATATAAACAATTTGTTTTATGTTATAATCAATGTCAAGAAAAAGTACCAAGGACCACAAAAACATTAGTAGAAATGAAAGAGCCAAGTCCACGCAGAGTGTTTTACTACTTTTACTTGTAGCAATAATACTAAAAAGGTCAGTGCCCCAATCCTTAGTACTCAGAGTTTCTTTCTATTTACTATTTGTGGCATGGGGCCACAAACTTGTTTTCATCCAGGTAAGTCTTCACAACAAATCCGTAAGGCGGTCTAAGGACAGGGAAACTGGAGCTTGGGCCACGCGCCTTCGTCAGGGTCACACACTCCTGGGACACACAGCTGGAAGGCGTTGACCCCGGTCTCTGCTCTTTAAGACGCTACCCCTGGCTGCCTCCCGAATGATTTTCCGGGACCCTTTCCACTTTGCAGTCTCTCCTGACTCTTTCTTTAATCAACAAACACTGTGCCTTGGAGACAAAGACGTATAAAGTGAAGGAAAAAAAAATCAAGGTTCTGTGTTTACAATGGTTGGTGATCATTATCTGCATGGATACAAAGCTCCACACTGTTTTGTAAGCACACTTTCTGCAGTACGTATACAGAGCATGCTCAAAAGTAGGGTGGAAACTGATGGAACAGGACCAAAACCTGGTGATGTCAAGGTATATTTAGTCTTTGCTTAGATGTGCTTCCAAAACATTACTGGAGGAGCCAAGAATCATCTAACGTTATTCTTTATGTATACAGTTCTTTTATGTACACAAGCATACAACCATTTCTTATTAAAGAAGCATTAAAAGTAACACAGGACACGTTTCTAGATCCTTTCATCCAAGGATATGAAAGTCCTTTATAGACACGCCCATTATTTCTGCTAAGTAAATGTCTTTGGCCCATTTCAGAGATGGGTATAACCAAAACATAAAACTAGGGAACTGAAACTCATATTTTATACTGTAATCACCAAGTCATGAATCTAATAGCCAGAGGGAATCTTTCAACACCAGGATTTTATGTGCTGAAATTTCTTTCTGGTTTTTCCTGAAAGGGATCAGCTTAAAACAATTTTTAAAAAAGAATTCTGGTAAAATACACATAAAATTACTACCTTAACCACTTGTCAGTGTCGAGTTCAGAGAGATTACATACGTTTAACACCACTGAACAGCCATCACCACCATCCGGTCACAGAGCTCTTCCATCAGTAAACTGAACCTGTACCCAGTAAACAACGCCCCGTGTCTACCTCCTTGAGGCCCCCGGGAACCGCCATTCTACTTCCTGTCTCTGGGAATTTGACCATTGTAGGCACCTCATTTAAATGGAATCACAGAGTACCGTCCTTTGGTGACTGGCTTATTTCACTTATAATGTCCTCAACGCTCATTTACATTGTAGCATGTGTCCAAATTTCCTTCCTTTTTAAGGCTGAATTATATTCCACTGTATGGGTTTCTCACATTTTGTTCCTTAATCCATCATGACCATGTGGGGTGCTTCTACATTTCTGCTATTGTGAATAACGCCCGGGTATACAGTTATGTCTTCAAGACCCTGCTTTCAATTCTTTGGGGTTTATACCCAGAAGTAGAATTCCTGGATCATATGATAAGTCTCTTTTTATTTTTTGAGGAACCTCCATCATGCTTTCCATAGCGGGCGTATCATTCTACATTCCCACCAGCTATGCAAAGGGTTCCAATTTTTCTCCATAATTTCCAAAACTTGTTATTATTATTTTATTTTTTTCTTTACTGATTTTAGAGAGAAAGGAAGGGAGAGAGAGGGACAGAGAGAGAAACACCGACTGGCCGCCTCCTGTTTGCCCCTCACTGGGGATCCAGGCCCACAGCCTGGGCATGTGCCCTGACTGGGACTCGAACCAGTGACCTCTTGGTGCATTGGTTGATGCTCAACCACTGAGCCACATCGGCTGGGCTGTTATTATTCTTTTTTAATTCTAGTCAACCTAATGGGTGTGTGAACTGACATCTGATTATGGTTCTGAAAGGGACTTAGATTTAGATTTCTGAATTATTTAGAGTAATTCCAATGATTTTGGAGGTCAGTGGTAGGTAGCAATAGCTGTACTTGGTCATAAGATACAAATCCACATTCTCCTTCTCTTGGGGTACCATGCTCCTAACAAACAGGCATTTAAGAGGTCTCTATCACCACATGCCAGGAGGCACATGTACCTGGCTTTGTCTCATCTCTTCTCTGTTTCTCACCTCAAGAGGGTGTGTCTTTTTTCTCAGCTTACTTTGATGGCCAGATGATTACAGAGTGCAAAACAAAACAAAAAAACCTAAATTTAAAAATAATCAGCAAGTATAAAGCTGAATATGTATAAGTGCCAAAGCAGAGGGCAGGATGGAAGACGTGAGGCCTCAGGCCGGTGGGCATAGGGCCTCTGCTGCCCTTAACTATATACCTGGAGGACCATAATTGCGCAATAAATATTCTCTAAATTCATGTTGAGAGGATGCACCACAGGAATGACAGGAGCTCTTACTGTGCATATAACCCAGTCTCTAGAACACTTCCTGAAAGTCATACTTTCATTAAGTAGAAAAAAAACAAAAAACCAGAATCAGAGCCCTGGAAGAGATGGTCACCTCAACCTCCATCATCGCAGCAGGTGAACCCCTCCACCTGCACTTACCTAGTCGGTCCTCACAACAGCTCTAGGAGTTGGCATTGCTGGCTGCCTTGTACTGGAGAGAAAACCAGGTGCAGAGAGATGGAATTCCTTGTCTCACGTCCTTCCTCACCACCCTGTACTGCCTCCCTGGTTGTCGCACTCACTAGTGGCCAGAGTTCTAAAAGCCTCCCAAGGCGCCGATGCTCTCCCAGGCTCTCAAAGCCCTGCAGTATCACAGAAAGGCTCCATGGGGACACCACCTTCGGTAAGTCACTTAAAATCGGTGTTTTCCTATAGAAATCTCTCAAGTGCTACCCAAACCATTTATCATTTGGTGCTCAGAATTATGTGGTTATCAATGGATAAAATGGGGGTGCTTGGGGAAGTCTGAGTCCAGAAATCTATCTAGATAAGTTATTAAATCTGTTTCCCCTCCCCCTCCTTCTCTCTCACACACACCCTCCCCCCCAAAAAACAAATGAACAGATAAATAAAACCTGGCATATGATGAAAATATCAGTTGAAAATACCTGCTGTTAAAAATATGCTCTACAGGGGTGGGGGGGGGAACAGATCACCCCCTTAATTCACTTTTAAAAAGCAATAAAATTAAAAGCAATTAAACTTAGGTGCCCTTATAAAGAGAACATGTGAGAATGCTCTGACTTGCATACCTGAGGTATGATTGACATTTTCTTCCTTAAATCGTGAAGTCCAATTTCAGTTGTCAAGATCTTATCAATCCAAATTTTACCTTCAGGTTCTGACAATCTAAAAAGGGCTGAGATGAGGGAACTTTTTCCAGCTCCTGTTCTTCCCACAATGCCAACCTGCAAAGAGATCCAGGAGAGATTAAGGAAAAACAATATGCAACAGACTGAGGGGAGACTCTGGCTGGTGAAGATGAATTAAGGACCTTCTATACTGAATGCAGTCTGAGTTTCTCAACTTGGACACTGCTGACATTTTGGGCCAGGTAATTCTTTGTTGTGTGTGTGGAGGCTGTCCTGTGCATTGTAGAATGTTTGCCAGTTTCCTGGGGTTCTATCTACCAGATGCCAGTAGCACCCCCAAATTGTGGCAGCCAGAAATGTCAGACACTGACAAATGTCCCTTGGGTGGCAAACTGCCCCTGGTTGAAATTCACTCTGTCTAAGGAAAAGTTAAAAAGAAAAAGAAAATCGATCTACTGGCAATGAAAAGCTAGCAGTCTTCCATGTGGTTGATGAAAAGTTAGCTTTTAAATTAGCTTTATTCCTGTGTCTGTGTATTTTGAACCTTGAGAATTTCTTAGATAACTTTATTGAGATGCCAACAAGTCACGTCAGAAGCATTATCCATAAACAAGTATTCCTTTTCCCAGAGGTCTAGCTTTTAAGAGGAATTATTGTTTGGTTAAGGAACAAAATCACTTCTGGATGTTAAATATCTGCTTATGTTCTGTCTTAAAAGGAAACATCTTAAATTTTAAAAGTGTAGGTCTCAGTGCCTTAAAATAAGACAGTAGCAAGTAGCCAAAATATACATAATGAATCAACAACAACAACATAAGTAAGTAAGCAACATTTGTTATTTATATGAAGCCTTTCATCTGAGCAGTTCAAAAGGCATTTTACAAACCAATTAATACTTATAAATTGCCCCTTGGGAAAGAAACGTGTCAAGTATCAGTCTAGTTATTAAAACCAAAGCAGAGAGAAATGAAGTATACTGACAATAAGATCAAAGAATCAATATAATTCACGTAAAATACTGGTCAGAAATGAAACAGTGTTGTAAAAACTGGCTTTTAGCTGTGTGCATTAAATCTGTATGCAGAAACTGGCTTTTGTTTTTTGTTTTGTTTTTTTAAAACTAATAAGCTTGCCCAACTGAAAATTCCCTGGTGGGAGGTTCCCAGGAGTCAGTATCTCTATTTAGGAATCTGGAATCAATGAGGGGCCTAAGACATGCTTTCAATCATTTGTAAATTAACTCAGTAGATTTAAAAAAATGCATGGCTTTAAACACAGAGTAACTAAACCTTCTGAGCACTGATAATGTGGTAGGAGCTATATTTTCTCATTTGAATACCTCCAAAGATTTACAGCTTAATTGTAAAATCAATAATGGCATTTCAAAAAGAATGTATCTTTTTTTATATGCAAGTGAAGTAGCAATGAGGGCCATGCACACGTGCAAATTTCCTCTGCTCACACACATGTCCCATTGTCCCATCTGACTTAATAACACACATGTTCAAAGATAAACTTTTTAAGGACTTCAGGAGAGTGTCAGCAGGGCTTTTCACCAGAACACAGGGCCTTTCAGAGAGCAGGAGTCTGAATGGCACTGTTTGCCTACCCGAGAAGCCTCGAATTCTTCAATGCTGGTATTAGGATTTGAACCCAAGACCCCGATTCCAGCGTCCAGGCCCTGAACCACTGTAACGACACTCTCTCTCGACCACATTGCTTTTCTTATTGTATTATCTTTGCTTTTTCGTCTTCACCACTGCTTCCATGTCAAAATTACCAGCAATCATCACATGACTAGCTGTCTGGGACCATCAAGCTAACCTGGTATTCCTTTTGTCTGATCCCAGTAAGCTTTCTTCTGGTCTCCATGGCGGCCTTTCTAAGCCATTTTCAAACCTCTTTCATAGATCTGAGTCTCCTCATCCCCACTAAGCCACAATTTTTCTATGTTGATACATCGTTTTCTTAATTATGTATTTTGTCCAAATGATATGGCAGAATTTACTCGGCCATTTACCTACTGCGGGAATGTACGTTAATTGTCCTCTAACACTACAACACTGCAAGGATTAGCATGCACCCCTTACTCTTCTTCTTTGTTGATTTTAGAGAGAGAAAGAGAGACAGAAACATCAGTGTGAGAGAGAAACATTGACTGGTTGCCTCCCGCACATGTCCGAGATCAAACCTGCAACCTAGGTATGTGCCCTGATCAGGAATTGAACCCACCACCTTTCGGTGCACAGGACAGCTGCAACCAACTGAGCCACCCAGCCAGCGTGCATCCTTTCCTCTTATGAAATGACCCTGCCTCCAATTTTACTGAAGAAAACAGAGTATATCAGGTATAAAATCCTTCCTTCCCAAATCTATATCTATCCTCATCTATGTTCACATTTCCTGTCCCTGGTCGGGTTCCCAACCCGACTCTGAGAAGGAGCCTAACACTCAGGGCGTTCAATGGGGAGTGCTCTCTGGAGCAACACCTGTGTGGGGAGGCCGGCAATCTTTTTCTCTCTAAACGCAAATTTACCTTTATAGAGATTAAATGTAAGAAAAATGGCTTTAGCTAATTTTATTATCTTTGTAGCCATTCTGTACCTTCAGTAAGTCCTCCTTCATATTTCATATTGGGCCATTTCCGCTTACAGGTGGGTCCCGGTGCATAATGCATGGCTCAGGTGTATCTCTGAGAATTCCCAGTGTTCTCGTATGCAAATCAACACACACACAGACAGACGAGAACCATGATTCTGAGAATGTGGATTTCCCATACTATCAGCTCTACTGAAACGGATATAGCTGTTCAAACTGGAACATCTGTAGACTCTTGATAAATGGCCTTGATATGGCAGGGGGCCCCAGGGCTGCTCATGACCACAGGACTAGCAGCTCCAAACTCAAGTGAGAATAGTAGGAAAAGGCCACTCAGAGAAAGCCCGCCTCAGTTTCTCTCTGCTGTTCAGGCTGTTCAGTCATCGAAACGCAGCCAGAGTCTCTCACAGGCCACCAATAGGTTTTACCAATTGCTCATGGAGACCGTCACCAATACCAGTAAGTTTACATTCATTACACCAAAGAGACTTTGAGATCCTCTTCTTTTAGCTGCTTTGCAACTGCCCCTTTATGTTTTCCCAACAAGGCCAAGGTTGGTCTCCGACGACCACACCAACGTGTCAGACATCTGCACCTGAATCTCTCTTCACACATCAAATTCAACATGATCAGTAAATACTCAATGGCCCACTCACCACAGCCGCTTTTCCCGACTCCCTGACTTCAACCTCAGAACTTCTTTTCCAGGCTCTTGGGATCAGAACATTCACCTTATTTAGAGCCTTTTCCAACGCCAGCACGGCCCTGAAGATTCGACTTCTGCCATATGTCATGACCCGACCCCCTCATTATAATGCCCCCTCTTCCCCTGTGTGCAAGGCTGTACTACCATTTGAAAAGCAGTGAGTATTTCCTTAATAATCATCACTGCAAGTAAATTTGAAAGTAAATAAATACTAGCAGTAACCCCAGCATTCTGATAGGACTATTCTTAGGCTGTTTATGTATTTTCTTTCTGGATGTTTGTGTGTGTGTGTGTGTGTGTTCTTAAAGATACTAGCTCACATATTCAACCAAAATGGGATTAGTATAAATATATTACTATAACCTGCTTTTGTTGACTATTTCATAACATTTATTTTAAAGGCTATATAATATTACAGTATGTGATGATTTATCAAATCCCTTATTTGTAGATATTTTGCTATTATAAGTAATTCTATGTTAAGTACCCCTGAAGTTAAATCTTTGCAAACAACCTTAATTATTTCCTTAAGATAAGTCCTTAGATGTGGGATTGCTGCGAGACAGGCATGAACATTTCAAAGGAGGCTGTCAAGCACTGCCAAACTGCCCTCCAGAAAGGCGCTATCAGTCTCTGCTGCTGCCCATCTCCCCGCACATCCACAGCCTGGGTGTCAGAGCTTTGTTTTCATCGACATCAGTTTCATTCCAAACAGTGACATCACTTCGCCCATCACACCTCGCTAGGGGCACACAACAGCGTGGCTCCTGCCTCTCCCACCTGCCCACCGCGCCCATGTGCCCTCTCAGCTTCCTGGGATTACTAGGTAGCTGTGGGGGTTAAAAGTGAAAATGGGTGTTATACACCTGGTGGTTTCCCTGAAGGCTCTGCAGGGGCCTAGTTCTTCATTCACTGAATCAAGGCATCACGCCTTGGCTTCTGCTGGTCCCATCACGCGGAATGCCTTCCACATGCATTTCCACCCACTGACATCCTAACCACATGTCCAAATTCCGTCTCAAACGCCTAATGTCTCGGAAACAGTCTACCTGTCCCCTAACAGATGTTAATCATCTTCTTCTGAACTTCCATAAAAGCTGTGAGCTCCTTCTGTCTTCCACAGCAGCCGTTTTTATATTGCTTTGCTTCTTCTATGGTGCTGTGTGTCCTGGCAGCAGGCTCTGTACCAGGTTCACCTTTGTCGGACTTATATTACCTGTGGCATCCTGCACAAAAGAGGCATTTCGTAGACAGCTGAGTTTACCTCAGGCTGGAGACATGTATGGAAAATCGACTGCCATATTGTTTAGGTATTACAATGAGCTGAACAGAGAAGACAGACCTGGCAGATGGATCCTATAACCATAAATACGATTGCAAATAGCCAAGGCTCCTTTTCATGCGGCAGACAGCCATGTGTGCCGTCGGTGTGAGAGGTTATGCTCATGTTACACCCTCTGACAACGACTGCTATCTTTTTCCAAGCGTTTGCTCGGTGCAGTCTCGGTGCGAGTCGGTGCTTTACATGTCTTATCTTGTTTAAGTTGTGCAAGTATCCTAGAGATTAGATCCTATTACTTCCATTTTGCAAGAGAGAAGATGGAGCCTTACTTAGTAAAATCAATTAATCTGCCTGAAATAATAAAGCCTAGACAGTGGCAGGACTCAGACCCAGGTCTGCCTGCCTCCTGTCCATCTGTCACGGCCTCCTTATCACCCGGATGGCCTGGCATCTTGGTAGGTCCTTCTGTCCAGCTAGAAGAGAAAAAGTGGGGAGAAGTGTACTTGTGGTTCAAGGAATGGCCTATCATAGGGATCCTATTGGCGGACAGTGAAATCCTAATGTGGACCTGGGTGAGTATACTGTGGCGGGTGGGACAAGACGTTGACATCTCTGAGCAGAGATGGGCCCCAAGGTGAGGTGGGCTAGCTGTTACCAGGGCGAACGGGCACCACAGCTGGGGCGGGAGAGAGAAACCTGGGAAACAGCATCACGTGCACCATTTAGGGCCCTACTTGGGGCCGCGAGACTAACTCGGAAAGGCCTCAAATATATTGCCACACCTGGCTGTCCACGCCTGCGGGCCCAGGCAGGCCCAGCCCAAGGGGAAAACACCTCTAGTCTCTGCAGGAGGCTGGTATGGGGAGGCCAGACAGCAGGATCCAAACTGCCTGTGATGAAGACAGACTAGACAGAAAAGATGCAAATACGTGCATAAACTTGGAACACACAGAACCAGATTATAATGTAAATCCACGATAGGCAGAATACCAAAGTAAATAAATCTGTAGGGTGGTAAGTGACATAGAACTTTCTGGAGCATCATGCTCAACCACAGGACTTGGAGAATTCATGGGCTATCCGTCATCAAAACTGCCTTAGGGAGAGAGAACTTTATGGGAAGAGGTGTCTTTTTCGAGTGGGATTCTGAGTCCCGAGCTCTGGGCGGGCTGGAGACTGCACTTCTAGGTGATGAAGGTGCCATGGCCCAGGCACCAGTCTGAGTAGCAAGGAATCCCAACGTGGCACGGACATGGGACAATCTGGGAGTGAAGGGAGGGGTTCTAAGAAAGTATTTGGTAAAAAGGGAGAAAATGTACGAAACTCTAATATTTTTGCACATTACAGCAAGGTCTAGCACATGTCTATAAAATGTATTATCCAAGTAACAGCTCTGAGCAAGAAAAAAAGTAGTAAACCAAAATCAATCTACCTCTAGAGCTGGAAAATGCTTTAAAATGGCCCAGCACTCTCTAAAATGATCAAATCAGCCTCACAATCATCTAAATGGGGGGGGGGGGGGATATATATATATATGAAGCCAGTGTTTAGAACCGAACCAAGAAGCCTAGGGTACTCTTTACCTCATTTTGGTTCTTTCTTTTACTTGCTATTTCTTCTGCGGATTAGATTCCCACTTATGACCTATTCGACTTTCTTGTTTCCTACAACTTCCAGGAAGCTGGGCAGCAGAGGAAATACATGACGGAGAACAAAGCACATTTCTGCTGCACGGACACATACATGCCCGTGTCTCCCGAACAGCCTCTGCAGTCAGATGCCAGACAAAGGGGTGTCCCAAGGAACGGGGGCTGGCTCAGACGTGGAGGCGAAACCTGGGATCCTCACAGGCAGAGTGAAATCATTTCAGGACTACGCTGGCTGGATACAATCTCTACATACACAAATGGGGTTCCAGGCGGTACTGGGAGTGGACCGCGACACAAATCCAAAGTCAAGTCCCTGGAGTTACCGTGATTCAGTCCCCACATTCAATGTTCCCTCAAACATTTTAGAATCTCAGAGAATCCTATGACTTGGGGGTGCTTTAGACTAAAGAAGACAAATCTGTTGTGTTTCTAAGGTGTACGACCGAGTGTCATAGACAACGCATAGTGTACGGTTTCCTGGGGTATTTCAATCGTGTGCACATTGGCAGAATTACGTCTGGCACGTGGTCTGACGGACACAGTGTCTGCAGCGAGCAAACCTCCCGACACGCTCTGAGGGACAGAATTTCATCAAGAGCTGTAGTTCATGTTTTCCCAACTCAGCAGTCCTCCCCTTCCCCCCGACCTGCAATGTAGCTGGAAATAATGAGGAGCCAGCCGGTGCCACGTGACCCACTGAAGCTGCTGCCCGGCTATCATTTGGGCATTAAGTTGAACATTTATTCTTTCATGTCGCAAGGGTATCATTCATTAAATTATGGCTATAGTCCACTAACTGGGCCTGTGGTGGAGAGAGCTTAAAAGAGCAGTGCTTAAGGTATTTAACACATCTAGGTAATGGGTTGTTTACAGGACTTGTCCTGAGTGTCTGTTTTTGTTACTGGTCGCTTCACACCTGCATATTATTCACGGTCCCGTGCCCCGCCCCCCACAAGCAGGGCCTCAGCACCCCCTTGTGTGCCCTGCAGAATGCCATTTTCTGGGGAACAAAGATGAAAATAAGATGCCCCTGACCTTAAGAACTCTCAGTGTACTGTGAGATCAGACCCCAAGTTACAAAGCATGGCAACATGCTATGTTTTATTGTTTAATTGTGGTATAATACACATAACATAAAGTTTAGCAGCTGAACCACTGGAAGTGCACAGGTCAGCAGGTTAAGTACGTTTGCCGCGGTGCAAACAAACGCCAGCGCTCTTACACCTGCAGCACAACTCTGCCCACTCGCCTCTCCTCCGGCTCCCGCAACCCCCTTCCACTTTCGTCTCTGAGTCTGACTACTCTCCTAACCTCATGTAAGTGCAATCATACAGCATTTGTCCTTTTGTGACTGGCTTATTTCATTTAGCATAATGTCCTCAAGGTTCATCCATGTGTCAAAATTTCCTTCATTTTTAAGGCAGGATAATATTTCATTGTATGGATCTACCACATTTTGTTTATCCATTAATCCTGTGATGGACACTTGGATTGCTTCCAGCTTTTAGCTACTGCAATGAATCCTTTTTGATCCCAACTATACTATAAATGCTATCTTAAAAGAACATATACGATGCCGTGGCAGAACTGAGCGTCTCCCAGAGGCAGATGCATGAGAGAGACTCGGAAAACAAAGAGGTTTTCACCAGCCAGACACTGGAAGGGCAGGGTCTCCGCAGTAAGGGAGCCAGGAGGTCTGATGCTTTGGCAGAACCTACACAGCACCTGAGTGCAAAGAGTGTGCGCATGTTAGGAATCGGGGCTGTAGGGTGGCTGGGGGTAGAGCTTCCTACAGCCTTGTCGCTTCTGATTTAACCACTTGTTTCCTGCCCTGGTCCCAGCTAAGGGCCCCAAGTCCCACTGCTGGTGGCAGGACCAGGTTGCAAACCTCCTGTCGGTCCCCCGCATGTACCGCTCCCTGCCCCCGTGGGTTTCCTTCCATGGCTTTGACTGAGTCTCTGGGCCCTTTACTACATGCAGCTGGGGGCTCTGGTTCCTGAGTCCTGACAGGGTCATGGACTCCAGACTCTTCTCTGGTGGCTGACAGCTGGCCACACCGCCCTGCTGGAATGGACCTGGAGCCTTGCTATGGTTCCAGCAGTGGCTCAGCCAGGTCAGGAGCTAGTGGGGGACCCAGAGGGACCAGAGCTGTGTCTCAGAAAGAAGCAGTCTGCTGGCGGGCGGGCAGGGGAATGACAGCAAGTATGGGTCAGAGGAGGGCAGGTCTATGGGATGCGCTAAGGGACAGAGGACGGCTGCACCTAAAGGCCACCATGGGGAGGGAGGAAGAGAAAGACGAAATATAAACAAGTGAGAATTGACAGGGACTAGACATTGGAGAGTTAGTGACAAGTGGCCACTAACTTGGGTTGACTTCCAAGACTTAAGCATGAACAATTAGATGCTGGATCCATATCCTGGGTCAGGTTAAGTTCCAGCCCTGGGGTCCAGGTCTCAACAACCACCAGGAGGCAGTTCATGCCACAGGACAGAAATATTGGCCTTCACATTCGTGATCAGTTTCCAAGAAGGATTTACGTGTAATCACCAATCAAATTCGCATCCACAGAGGAACAAAGAGGCCCCCTGACTCATTCACGAGGAAGCCAACAAGCAGATGCAGCCCTAAACCTCTAGTTGACATTTTAAAGAGGCAAGGAGGTCTAAACAAACCTTTTCTCTTGACTTAATGAGTGCTGTCAGGTGTTTCAATACCAGAGGGCCATCCAGACTGTAGGTGAAGTTGACATTGTCAAAGACGATCACGCCTTCATGGGGCCAGGTGGGCGGTGGGCGTTTTTTGTATTCCCAAGGTGCTTCTTTCTCCAGGTCTGTATACTCCATTACCCGTTCTACTGAGATCATCTGGAAGACATACGACATGACGTGAATGAACGGTCTTGTTTATGGATGTTAAGAGACTGTAAATTAACCATTCTGTTTCCATAAAGATTTCTCAGGTCTTTTTTTTTTTTTTTTAGAAACATTGATGTGAGAGAGATGCATCGACTGGTTGCCACCCACATGACCCCAACCGGGGCCGGGGATGGGGACAAACTGCAACTGAGGTACATGCCCTGAGTGGGAACCGAACCCAGGACTCTCTGGTCCGCGGGCCGATGCTCTAACCGCTGAGCCATACTGACTAGGGTGATTTCTCAGGTCTTGATATCCCAAAGGAGAGAAGTAGGAGTCTGATGAAGACTTTGATGATTTACAAACCTGTCATCGTCTTTTGACACTTTTACTTATGGCTACTTCCATCAACATTACATTAAAACTAAAAGAATCAGACCAGTCGGTGTGGCTCAGTGAACTGAGTATCATCCCATGGACTGAGAGGTCCAGGTTCAGTTGCTGGTCAGGGCACATGCCTGGGTTTGGGGCTTGATCCCCAGTGGGGTGGGTGCAGGAGGCAGCTGATCGATGTTTCTCTCTCACGTTGATGCTTCTCTTTCTCCCTTCCTCTCTCAATAAAAAAAAAAATCAATAAAAACATATTAAAAAACAATTAACTCTGGCCGGTTTGGCTCAGCGGTTAGAGCGTCGGCCTGCAGTCCAGAGACCCGGGTTCGGTTCCTACTAAGGGTGTGTACCTTGGTTGCAGTTTGTCCCCGGCCCTGGTTGGTCATGAAGGTGACAGCCACTTGATGTGTCCCTTTCACGTCAATCTCTCTCTCTCTCTCTCTCCCCCTCTCTCTCCCTCCCACTCTATCTGAACAAAAAATGGAAAAATGTCCTCGAGTGAGAATAACAAAATAAAATAAAATAAAATAAAATAACCAGAGAAATGAACACTAAGATTTTATCTACTTTTCATACCTGAATAAAAAACAAGAGGATTTTATCAAAGAATAGAATACATATAGCCACCAATTAGTGATTTATGCTACAGCAGGGCCATCAGTTATAGATTAATTAAACTGGATGGTCATCAGATCTCATTTTATTTATTTATTTTATCCTCACCCAAGGACATTTTTGCATTTATCTTCAGAAAGAGCGGGAGGGAGAGAGGGAGGAAGAGAGAGAGAGAAACATCGATGTGAAAGAGACACATCGACTTATTGCCACCCACATGACCCCAACCAGGTCTGGGGACAAACCGCAACCAAGGTACGTGCCCTTAGCAGGAACCAAACCCAGGACTCTCTGGTCCGTGGGCCGATGCTCTAACCGTTGAGCCAAACCAGCCAGGGCCGAAATCTTATTTTAATAGTCACTTTGTATTTTACTAGAACAGTAAAATGAAAATATTCTATTCATATTATTTTCCTCCTTTTAAAAGAAGGTACAGATATTCATAAGAGGAGATAACTTACCTATTGACTAAGCCCACCTAAACCACCATAACTGAACACCTTCGACCGGCACGTTCTGAGAGGGAGCGCATCCCACCAGAAAGGATGCCGGCAGATGCAGGTGTTCAGTGCTACAGTGGGGGAGGGGGAGAGACACCTATTAATTAAACAAACAACCAACCTAAAAACCAATACGTTTTTCTTTTACCAGGAATGAGGAACTACCCATTAAGAACAATAAATAAATGGGACTCTAAGAAATTAGCTTATATCCACGCCGGGATTTCAGAACGTCCCTCCTACAAAGACCTTTATTACATTTGAAGACGGCTTGTGATGAATATAAAACCTGCTGACATAGCATACATAAGACTGAGAAAAAGATGTATATATTTTATTTTACATTAACTGTAAACAGATGGAAGAAGGATCTAAAAAACTCTGTTAGCTCCAATGTAAAAATAACAGTTTTAATATTTTACATAAGAAGTGCTTTTATGCTGCTTCATGGCAAGGAGACTTGAAAAGGCCGAGAGCGATGAGATGAACATTACCATATTCTCGACTTCGGCGCTCTGCCTCACGCACCACTGGAACATCCCCATGAGAGTGAGCGCGTAGGACAACGCCAGGCCAACCTGCCCGGCATCCAAGGCTAAGTGAGGGGAAAGAAGGCGAGAAAGTCAGTCCCATTTTCAACCCTGAGTATGGCTCCTTCTGTCACTTTATGAAGAAGACTCTTAAAATATTTAAACACTTTGCATACAGTAATCAGTAACAGTTACACTTTTACTATCTGTTGATTGAGAACATGACACAAACCCACTGTGAATGAGAGTATGAATCCCAACAGGACTGACATACACCTGGCAGGTAAGACACAGTGAGGAGTCGTTATTTAGACCTTCCTCATTAAGGCTTCAAGGACCATTGTGTAATTTCACTTACTCGGTCCTATGCAACTGCAGTTGGAAGCCCCTGCAAACAAACCACGGGCACTAAGAGCCGGTGCTTTTAAATCTCAAGCACTGCTCTCGTTGTTCCTTTATTAACTAGCGTGACTTGGTGCTGTGAATGGAACAGTCATGCCACGCACGCCAGCACCTGCTCACCTGGTACTCACGTGGCAGGAGGATAACGTACTTTCCTGCTGAGCATCCTCCACCCAGTGCACAGTCACCTACAACCAAGAGATCTGAGTGGTCCCCAAACCTAAAGCCGTCAGAGGGACAAAATGCTCAGAGTAAACTTGGTTCTCGCCTCACAATTACCGGACACTACCAGGATGCTCAGAGGGTCAGCCTGCTACATCTGTGTAGATCTAAACTCACTCAGAGAAAGATAAAAGGAACTCATCCAGGCCCCAGGGATCCTCTGCGTGGGCCACACTGCGGAATCGCCCCCGACCCGACATACTGCAAACACTTGACTACAAACCCACTAGAACCAAACAGTATACGATATTAAACAAGGTGGCAAGAGTTTAATTTAATACTTGTAAATGCAGCTACACATTGTCATAATACCACAAATAGTTACTCCCATCTGTACTTACTTTTTGCCAGAATCAGGGACCCAAAGGCAACAACGATGACAAAGACGGCACAGATGGCATCCAGACGCACGGCGAACCATCGGGACGTGGTCAGAAACAAGAACCAAGCCTCTGGGTTTGGGAACCAGAGCAAGCACAGTGAAAAAGCAGAAAGACCACATTAACCGCTTCGAACGAGGGGGAACCTTCTGCTCATGTGAGTTAACGAGACTGTTACACAAAGTAGGACAGCAGAGCCGCACACCAGGAACCTGAGGGGTCCAGAGAGCGAAGCGCGGTACACTTCGGAGTCAGTCCAGTGGCCTGCTTTGTGGGGAGCTTGCACTGAACAAATCCGACCCTCAGGTTATGAACAGAAACGCCCCTGCTCCACAGAACACGAACAAGGGTCTCTTCGGTGCATTCCTTGCAGGGCTGGGCTCGCCCTGAAGCTCAGCCTCCCACGTGGCTGCCTGTTCCCAGTTCTCCAACGGCAGAGTGAGCTCCCAGCTTGCTCCCAGCACCTCCATACTCACCACAGGGCCCCACATGCAGTATTTGAGCCTGTATCTAAATGACCATCTTACCAAAGGGATCTACATGTGGCTTTCTAAATGCCACTTTATACTCAAAATATGAAAAAGATCGAAAAGGTAGGCAAGGATTTTACAGACTTAGCGGAAATTCTAAATTTTCTACAGAGAAAAAGCTTCACTGATACAAAGAGTAACAGACATCAGATGGGCAGCCGATTTGACAATGAGGAAATTCATTTCCTCAGTCACTTCTGCCACCCTGTGTGCTCTGAAAAAAGAGTTGGCAAACTATAGCTTGTGGGCCAAGAATGGCCCACCACCTGTTTTTGTAAATAAAGTTTTATTGGAACACAGCCACACCCATTTGCTGTTACAGCATTATCTTTGCCTGCGTTTGTGCTACAACAGAAAAGTTGAGTAGCTGCAACAGAGCCAATGGGGCACACAAAGCCTAATATATTTACTATCTAGCTTTTTACAAAAAAAAGCTTTGCTGACTCCTGCCCCAAAGGGACAGAAAGTCACAGGGCCTGGCGATGGAAGGACAACGCGAACCAGTCAGGGGACGGAAGGCAGTGGTGTGCCTGGGGAAGAGGGGAGTGCGGAGGGGCCATGCCAAGGGCAGGGGAGGGGAGGAAGATGTGCAGAGACAGGGTGTGAAGCTGGCCCAAGGGGAGGAAGTGAAGTGCCAGCAACAGGGCCACCTGAGAGGAAGGTCAAGCCCCATCCTTTGACACCATTCCCAGAAACGTACAGACCTGAATGCAAATCCTGGTGTGCATCAAACAGTTCCTGAAACCTCTCTTCCGTTTTGTACGCCCGGATGGTCCAGAGTCCCTGGAGAGAAGCCGATAAGTGGGAGAACACGGGGCTCCGTGCTGCGGAAGCAGAGAAAGACCAATGACAAAGGAAGTCGGTGAGCCTTTGTGCAAGGAAACCAGCTGCCTCCTGAGCTCTGTGGTCTCGTGTCCCAACAACTGGCACAGCCAGAGCTCCCCAGTGGGCTGCCTGGGGGAGCAGGGCTATGCCCCTCTGGAGGGGACCCTCCAGGTCAACCCTCAAACTCCTGGTCACACCATGCTTCCCTTTATCCAACTGCAAAAAAAAGCTTCTCTCTGAACCTATCTTTGGCCAAATTCAAATCATAGCCAGATTTAGATAAATTCTTTCTTTGCTAACTCATTCATCAAGGTCCTCCTCAAACATGGCTTCCCTCCATATTCTTCCCTGACATCCCTCTGGGTGGGAATTATCGTTCACTAGGTTTTGAGTCAGTTGTGTTTTTAAATTGAATTCTCTGTTAAAGTACTCACCACACTTAATTATGATCAGCTATCTATGTGTCTGTCACCCCTTTCGATTAACTTCTTTTTATTTATTTATTTTTATTGATTGATTTTAGAGAGAGAGGAAGGGGGGGGGAGAGAGAGAGAGAGAGAGAGAGAGAGAGAGAGAGAGAGAAGCATCGATGAGAGAGAACGTCGATTGGCCGCCTCCTGCATGCCCCTCACTGGGGACTGGGCCCACAACCTAGGCATGTGCCCTGACTGGGAATTGAACTAGCTACCTCTTGGTGCATGGGTCGACGCTCAACCACTGAGCCACACCAGCTGAGCTGATTATTAACTCCTTAAGGTCTGGGATAGAGTTAATATATCCCCAAAACTGGAAGCATGCCTGACACAGGCCAGGTGCATGATAAGTAAGGTGCATGGACAGTCTGTGCCCTCTGCATCCTGATAAATTCACGGGTGCCTGCGGGTGCCCCAAGCGTCTCTGTGTGGGTCATTGCACACCGGGTATTACACTCCCCTTGCGTCCACACCACCTGCACAGCCAGGTGTCTCTGAATAGCCTTAACTTCAGCTAAAGGAGCAGCTGAGTGTGTTTATAACTGTCCTGCTGGGCACCTGTCCTGGCGTTTGGAGGTCACTGTGGCATGTGACATTGATATCACCCTGTCAGAATCTGACTGTGGTCTTAGTGGCTGTTTCCCTTTGAGTAACTTCATGTTGGCTTTGGAGCCTCGTGTCACATGACGGGCCAGCGGTTTCCTTGCCATCTTCTCTGGGAGCACGCTGTGCACGAGCCCCAGGGTCTGGCTCCTGCATGCTGGGGGCCAGATGGACTGCAAGCTACTGGGCAGACTGGGACCTGTGACCTCGGTGTGGGATGAGTAACAGTTCGTGTTTCATCAACAGGAAGTACTCACGTCACTGTGTCACCTGGGTAGCTCCTACAGAAGACCTGTTGGTAAAACCTGGGTGTTTAAGGGGAGGTAAGGTCACTCAAAGGAGGCTGCAGATATTTTGTAAAATGACAGGAAAAAAGAATTTTTTCAAAAAGCTCGAAGTTAATTCCAGGGCCTGATTCCTTAGTCCGGCATCCGAGTGTCCGTCTGTGTGTCCCTCCACGCTGACTCGCGTGTGGGCTCTGCACGGTGTTATGCCTAGTTAGCAGCTGCGGCTCCACAGGCAGGGAGGGAGCAGGCTTCCACGGGAGACACTGGGGTTCCGAGAAGGTGGGAAGCCCCGGGCTGTGGGCCCTCTGGCCATCCACTCAGACTTGGGGCTCTTTCCTGACTGGGGGCCGTTAGGGGCCCCGGCCCATGATAGTGCTTGAAGGAAAACCCTTTTGTGAACCGGACACGATCTAACGTTCCCCCTGTGCTAATTAGGCAGAGCCGTAGTGACTGGAGGCTCTGACCGTCCAGCCGCATGTTTTGTTCTTCCTCTCACATCCACAATGCACACTGTTCTCTTCATTGTACAGAGTAACTTTTAACGTCTATTTATTTCAGCTTCCTTTAACTTCTCACTTTTAAGAGAGCAATATGAGCACAGACTGAGCTCATGCTCCGAATCAGAAAGGCTGGAGGCGATGTTCTGGCGCAGGACGCAGTCCTCTGGTACAGGGTGCTCACAGGAGGCTCGGGGGGATTCCAGGGCTCACTGTCCTACCGAGCGCGGGCTGAGAGTCCGGCTCCAGACAGCACGGCGCCCTCGCTGGAACCATCTCTCCCGTCCAGAGCGAACGCTGTGACCACGTCTTTCGCCACAGACGATCCCTCTGAGAAGGAAGGGGTGTGCTGCAATTCTCCGGCTGGGTGGCTCCTCACTCGCTCCTCTCTCAGGCGTGGAGTGGCAGCTGGTTATCCCACAGGGCTGGCTCTGTCGAGCAGGTGTCACACGCCCACAGAGCGTCGCCCACTTTGCCCCTAGCCCGGAGCGAGGGCACGGCGGGTTGAGCTGTGAAAGCCATCAGGGCTGAACGGGCGCCAGGGGAGCACTGCAGCTTGCGACCAGGTCCGGGCGCACAGGGACGGGGGGCCGCAGCTCCGGGTCATCTTGCCCAGGTGTAATATCCCTTTTCCCACTGACTAAGCTGGCTGTCCTGAAGGAGACCCACGTGACACCCATGGCATCAGTCACCAGTCACAGACAAACGGAACCCCACATTTCACAAGGCTGACCGCTGTGTTTTCCATGACCCCAAGGGCTCTTTGGGACACGGAGCTGCAAATCTTCCCTGGCGAGGGGAGGGCAGGGAACTGCACGCCTGGACCCTGGGCTGACAGCCTTGCAGGCTACCGTTCGCTCCGTGAGACCTGCTGGCTGTTACGTTCCGACCTGCCTCAAAGTCAGGGTTCTAGTGCCTTTGGTAGAAGCCAGCAAGCACTTTTCAAACATCAACTCAATGCTCGTAAGAACGCCGGAGGGCAGATGTATTGTATCTTGATAGAGGGGAAAACAGATTGAGAGATTAAGTGCTAGGGCTGAGTGACAGACCCAACTCTGGCTTATTTCCAAGGCTGTGCTTTTCATCACAGCCAGTGTCTGAGAGAGAGAACAATCAGGGGTTAAAGATGCCCATGTGTGACTAAATGCACTTCCCCCTAGACTTCGTAGTTTACCTCTAGAAAACCCTGAAGCCTTAATCCAATAGCCTTACCCATGACTGTACATCTTATTAGGCACCTTAAGTTGAACTGAGTCCTGAGAAATCGGCACGAGAACTCTACTGTTGTAGAGTTCCAGCCATGGCAATCAGGTGTGCTTTTTGCTGGTGATTCCAGCAGTGGCCTCAAGAAGTACTATCCATTACTGTTCAGAGGAAACAGTGGAACTGTGATCCTTGGCACAGAACACCCAGATGGAGAACAGTGAACAGTTCTAACCAACTGGCCACCACATTTGGCTATCTGTTATCTGGAGGTGTGCAGGAAACAGCATCCAGATTTAACTTACTGCCTCAGTCTACTGCAGTGCAGGAAAATCCAAACATTCCATAGGGGTCATGCCAAAGTTCTCAGAATGTCCAAATCAAACAATGAGGAAATACTATACTTCGGTTTGAAAAAGCCTCAGGTCCCTTTCTCTCCCCTTCCACAACGATGGAAGTGGTCATTGCCCCAAGCAAACATCTCTGTCAAGTGTTCCTTCTGGAATACGGTACTTTTTCTTTTTCTTTTTAAATATGTTTTTATTGATTTCTTTTAGAGAGAGAGAGGAAGGGAGAGGGAGAGAGGGACAGAATAATGATTGGCTGCCTCCTGCATGTCCCCTACTGGGGATCAAGCCCCAAACCTGGCATGTGCCCTGACCTGGAATCGACCCAGTGAACTCTTGGTACCTGGAATGATGCTAATCCACTGAGCCACACTGGCTGGGCCAAGCCTTCTTTAAAATACTAAAGACCTCCTTTGCATCGAGGGCCTCGGTACTCACTTGTAGATTCCAGGCGTTTGACATCTCGCGACGTTTCTAAGAAATAGCTCCGAAGAACAAAGAAAAGGATGCCCAGGAGAACCAGGGGAATTGCAATCCAAGGAATCACTGCCACCGCCACGCCCACCACACCAATCACTTGTAGAAAGGTCTGAAATAGCGAAAACAGATACAGGGTTCTCCTGTGACATTGGGATTTATAATAAGAAACACATATTTCTTTGTCTCCAATTATTGCTCTTTGTCTCCATGTACTGGTCTTTGCCCCCATTTCAGGCACAGAGCTCCCCAAACCTTTGGAATTTCCTGAGTGTGGAGAGTGATCAAGGTGTCTTTCGTTATGTTAATGAAGTAACTTTAGGAAAGCACCTAAGGATCTGGACCGGTTGCCAATGGAGCCAACCTGTGGTTACAGGACTGAAACTCCCAGTCTCACCCCATATCTGGGGAGGAGAGAAGGGCTTCAGGTTGAATTAACTGCCAATGGCCAATGACTCAGTCAATCATGACCACGTAATGAAGCCTCTATAAAACCCCCAAAAGACAGTTCCTTGCCCTTTTTTCAGAGAGCTTCCAAGTTGGAAAACCAGAATGCTTGGCCACCATGATAAACCCCAGACTCCATAAGGACAGACTCTCCTTGAGCTTCATTCAGGACCTTGCCCTATGCATCTCTTCATCTGGCTATTGATCCACATCCTTCATATACTTTGTAGTAAATCGGTGATCTAGTGAGTAAAATGGATTTGCTTAAGTTTTTTGAGCCATTCTAGCAAATTAATAGAATCCAAGGAGGGGTCATGGGCACCTCTGATTTACAGACACCTGTGAGAAGCACAGGTGACAACCCCAGCTTGCACCTTGAGCCTGAAGTGAAGGGCAGTCTTGTGGGACTGAGCCCTTTACCTGTGGAGACAGATTCTACCTCTGGGTAGACAGTGTCAGGATCGAGTTGAATTCTTGGACATCCTGCTGGCATCCAAGAATGCTTGTTGGTATGGGGGAGCCTCCCCACACACATTGGGACTGGGTCCCAGAACCTCCTTATCAAGAACTCTTCAAAAATAGATGTCATGAGATGTTTTTTGGAATTAAATTCCTCACTTTTCAAAGACTTGTTGTAATAGCAGGAAATACTTTCCCATCCAACAAAATCAAAATCAGAGGGGTGGTCCTGATAATATGTATCAAATGCTTACTGTATGCCAAACACCGTAAGAACTCTTTAGGTATTAGCTCTTTGATACATTCAGGGGCCAATTGTGTAGGTATTACTCTTTTCCTTATTTAACCGAGGAGAAAATTTGAGACTCTCAGAGTGGGTAAGACTTGAATCCCAAGCTATCATGAGTCAGGAGATATCACTAGAGAACTGAGCAAGTAGAAGCCACAGATGAGGACTCAGAAGACTCAGCTATAAACACAGAGATAAAGAAGTGGTCAGCTGCAAATTCAGAACTCAGAAAACGGGACATGTATGTTTACCTTTGGAAGTGGGGTTCTGCTTTCTTGGTTTTCTACCTATAGTTAACATTTACTGCGTACTGTGCATCTGGCTGCATATTAAATACTTCATACGTATTAACTCATTTAATTCTCACAGTAGCCCTGTTAAGTACGAATATTATCTCATTTTACAGATGGAGATACCGAGGCCCAGGACAAGGAAAAGCAACTTGACCCAGACTGCAAAGCATCTCTGAGAGAGCCCATGCTGTCAGCCACTACGGTATATTTAAGCTTGCCCTTAACATACCAACTTTTACTGTCTAGGAAAATATTTTTTTACCCATTTGAGCCTCATAATATGTCTTTCATTTTTCCTCTAAACACCCTGCCTGCTATGAAAGGGGTCAAACCGCGGGGACATGGAGATGGGTATCGGCATGGGACAAGACCTCCGACGTTCATCGTCTCCAGTGAATACAAATCCGTGGCCATCTGCACAAGGCACAGTGTGCTACAGAAACACAGGGAGGAACACTGAACTGTTTAGAGGGTTCTAAGAAGAGACTTATGACCAAATTTCACAGGCGGGTTTAACAAACAGAAAGAGTGGCATGAATCACTGGCAGGTAGTGAGCACAGCTGATGGAACTTCTGACCCAGGAGCCAGGCAGCGAAGATGGACAGGTTCTTCTGTGCCGGCTCAGCTCCGGCACCTGCACCCCTATCCGCCGGCCGAGGGCCCTGCCCGCCACGCCACCCAGGCCAGCGGGACCCAGGCAGGATCAGCAGGGTAATGCCCACACGGACTTAGATGATCATTTCACAGCTCTTCGAAATCAGTTTTCTCGGAGGGTCCTCACGACTGTCTTGTGAATGTGAAAAGAAAGAACTGTCGTTTCCATCTACAGATAAGAAACCATGAGGCTGGGAGGTTAAGTGGTTATCCCAAGGTCTCCCTGGAAGGTACTAGGTATGAGGGAGAAAGCCAGGAGCACACTGTGCTTAAAATCCACAGCCACAGCCGCAGACAGCAGCAGACAGCGTATGGAGGAAGAAGGAAACTTGCAGGACTGAAACTTTGTAGCAGGAGCCCTTGCGAATCCAGCCGCATCACCTTGAAGCAGCCCCTGTGCTATCACTGTTTCTCCCCATCGCCACCGTGGTTATCGCGCAAAACCCAGGGGAAGCCTGTTCTTTACATCTCTGCATAATGTTGTATCCCATATACATACAAGATGCACATTTGAAAAAATTAATTCTAGATATGGTCCTATTTTGTATTATTTTCCCTTTTTTTCGCATTTTCTAGTTTTGTTGGGTTTCTTGTGGTTGTATCTGGTCTCTCCCAAGAGGTAAACTGTCCTAGACTCCCAGCTGATTAGGGAATAACAGCCTGTTTAGTTCACAGAGCAGAGCTGACCATTAAAAGATCTTTAGAATGCTTGCTAATAGAATGTACTAACAAGTGTTGCTTTAAGAACTATTGTTTACATTTTTTTAAAAAAGTTTCATAAGATAGATGAGTTCTAAGCCCAGAAACCAAAATGACTTGAAGGGGGGAAAGAGGGAAAGAGCCAAAATTAATTTTAATAAATACATAAAACCTAAGGACACAAAATGAGGCTAAGCATTTTACACGTTCAATATCGGTATCTGGATGGGAGTAAAAACATTAAAATGTCCCCAGGAAGTCTCTTCCTCTAGAATTGACATTGTATTCTAAGATTACAGATTTTAACATTTTCCTTTCACAAGTACAATTTTACATACAAGGACCTGCTTGCCTGTTTGACATTTAACTACCAAACTGCTTACAGTCCTGTCAGAATTCCTAGGTATCTACCCACCATTTACTTTAAACTTAATTCCATGGAATTCTGTTCCTGCTAGTCTTTGTGAAGCTTGTGCCAAAGAACATGTTTTCTATAAACAGCAGTAAAAATGTATTCTTCTTATTCTATGCAAATAAATGTGTCATCCATACTTTTGGCTCACTCCATTACTATTTGAATTCTTCCTCGCTCGCATACTTACATTAGACACAAAGTAAAACATGTATTTAGTCATAAGGCCACTTAATCAGTAGACAGCACTTTTATTATTTGTTTACAGTATTACAAAATAAAATGAGGATCATTAAGATTGCTAAGACCTCAAAGGGATTTCAAAGCTTTTAAATCTGCTGTCAGTCAGACTCTACAGAATTCTGTTCCAAGTTGTGATAAGTACAAATCATTCAGATTGCCTTAAACTATTACTGATTTTGCAAAAGATATGACTTAAGTGTAATAAACAAAGCAGGATTCACTTCTTGGCAAGAAAACATGGCGAGATTTTATTCTGATTTAGAGAGAGAAAAAAATGACGCCTAGTTTTTTGATCAGTAAGCTGTTTACTGATGTGGGTGTAGGAGAGATTCTTCTATCTATTTATTTTGGAAACATATAAGATAAAAAATAGCCGATCAATAAAATGACTATCACATAGATTGTGCTGCTGGCTAGTACAAGATTATTGTGGAGGCAGTAACATTTTGAACAGGCTATACAATATTTTAAAAAATATTAGGAAATAAAATTCAATTCCTATCAAATAATACTCATTACCCTTCAATTATAGATAAATAGAAGCAAAGGGAAAAATATTGAAGATTCCTCAATGGAGGCTTCTAAACCTTAATATCAACCTAGGGTTGGTATTAAATCTGCAGGTGTATGTTACCTGTGGATATGGCACCTTGTGTGTCTTAGGGAGTTCAAAGATCAATTCTGGTTCCCAGATTGCTCCTTGATCATCTGTTTCTTTTTACCTCAGCCAACTAAGTTAACTCTGTTAAATCAGAACTTTACAAAACTTTGGTGGGTGAAGAGGTCTACACAAACTCTAAGATTAAGCTTTCTAAACTTGGCTTTCTCTTGGGATACACTCATCGTTCCTTTCATCCCTCATTTGGGACCTTCTCACATCCACACCAGCTCTGGGGCTGTGTATCTTTCGGTTAGTTCTTCATCCTGAGTCCTAGCTAACTCCACTGAAGAGTTTTGTGGTGGGGTACGGCTTACAATTTCTTAACCAACACGACAGATAATATTGGGGAAATGTAATGCACTTTTACTTGTGATCAGCATATCTCATTGATCAATAGCTCCCTTTCTACCTTTTCTCAGTGTTAGAGCTTGTTATGAAACTCAAGGCTGGAGTCCATCTATGTGCTGATTTTAAAAGGCACCCCTTAAAAATAAGGGCACATAAAGGTGGAAGTAAAAGCTTGGAAAAGGGTACCCAATGTAACACTAACCGAAGTGTCTACCTATATCACTATAAACATATAAGCTTTAATTTAGGAAAGATTCATAGAAATAAATAAAAACATTTCCTAAAAATAAAGGGTCAATTTATATAAAAGATATTTTAAAAATCTGAATTTATACTAACCTAATAACATAGTGACAAAATATATAAAACAAAATCTGACAGAACCCAGGAGAAACAGATAAATCTATACTCCTGGTGGGTGTTTTTAACCCATTTATCTCAAAAACTGATCGAACAAACAGATAAATATCAATAGATTATAAAAGATGTGAAAACATGATTAATAAACTTGACATGTTAAAAAAATGCAATACTGCAGCCAATAACTGAATACATTCTTTCAACTGCATATGTACTATGCTATAAAAGCAAGTATCAAATAACATC